GATGGCTGGCCTAAGTGGCGGTTGCAGGATGGTGCCAGGGACATGACTTTTTTGAACATGCGGCACCAGTGCAGCATGTGCCTGAAGAATTTCCGCAGCCAGGCTGATCTGGGTCGTCACATGCGCACACACACGGGCGAGAAGCCCTTCAAGTGCCCTTATTGTGAACGCTCCATGGCACAGAAAGGAAATCTCAAGGCCCATATCAAGAATGTCCACAATGATAAAACATGCCCCATTTAACCAAAGAAGTGAAGGTGACTTGACTTTGGTGTTGGTACAGATGGTACAGAGAGTGTCTTTTGTACTTTTGTGGGACCTGTGGGGTGTCGGGACTCATGTTGCATCAGCATCATCGTGAGAAAAGAGAATGACTAGATTTGTTCTCTCCTGTAGGGGCACTCAGGATTGGTGTGTGGGCAGCTGCTGCAGATTCTGGAGAATACCAGCGGGAGCTCGAAGGAGCCACTAAAAAAAAAAAAAAACAATCACAACACACACACACACCACACACACACACACCACACACACACAACAATCACACACACACACACACACAACAATCACACACACACACAACAATCACACACACACACACCACACACACACACCACACACACACAACAATCACACACACACACACCAAACAAACACACACACACACACACACACACACCACACACACACACCAAACAAACACACACACACACCACACACACACACACAACAATCACACACACACACACAACAATCACACACACACACAACACACACACACACAACAATCACACACACACACAACAATCACACACACACACACAACAATCACACACACACACACACACACACCAAACAAACACACACACACACAACAATCACACACACACACACAACAATCACACACACACACACCACACACACACCAAACAAACACACACACACACACGCCAAACAAACACACACACACACCAAACAAACACACACACACACCAAACAAACACACACACACACAACAATCACACACACACACACACACACCAATCACACACACACACAACAATCACACACACACACACACACAACAATCACACACACACACAACAATCACACACACACACAACAATCACACACACACACACACACCAAACAAACACACACACACACAACACACACACACACAACAATCACACACACACACAACAATCACACACACACACACAACAATCACACACACACACAACAATCACACACACACACAACACACACACACACACAACAATCACACACACACA